AAATAAAAAGTTTCAAAATTGACAGGTTCTTCTGTTTCACTGAAGCAGATGTCAAATGCATGAGAGCATTATCGCCTCTGCTACCTTCCTTTTCTTTCTTTCTTTCTTTCTCAAACCAGATAATGCCTTTGATATATCATTTCTTCCGTTTTGTGGACAGGCAAATTATTACAGGTCCGTTCTCGTAATCAAACAGGAATGGTCTATTGTTTATATGCGGTAATGGCAGGGCGTAACATACATGCTAAGGAACGAAGTAACAAACAATTATATTATCTGTCTATATTTTCTTAAAGACACGTGGCACAGTGGATAAAGGCGTGACAGGACCCAAAGAGTTCTGAGTTCAATATCTGGTTAAGGCAGTGAAGAACTTGGAGAGGGGAATTAACAAGAGATAACTGATAACTGACATCCATTAGACATGGCACGTAAACAGTCTACTCCAGCGTGCGAAATAAAGGATTCAGTTCGACATTCCAACCACCTGAAGAAGGCCGTAGCATACAACGGCCGAAACATTGTGATAAATATGGCAATAAAGATGAGGACAATAGTCAGAATAATGTAAATAGTAAACAATTATATGATATTATACTAATATTAATACTCATATCAATACTAATTTACCAATGTCGTAAAAAATGAGGCCATAGTTTATTAAACCCTGTCATCTATGATAATATTATACCAATATTTCAATTTTTTGATTATAGAAAAAATGTTTTCTCGAAAAAAAAAAAACTTTTCTCCATTTCTAAGACAGATGTTTACACGTATCGTCTTCTGTAATAAAAATGATTGAAGTGCCGTGAACGAAAAATTCAATATTCTTTAATGGTGAGACACAACTTATGACATTTATCATGAGGTTCACTGCATGGAAATGGTTGCCCATGTCTGCTGTAAAGTGTAAACTTGAGTTAGAAATCTGTTTTGTAAATTATTCACGTGAGTTTTGCTTTTGCCTCACGCGTTAGGTTTTTTCTTTCTTGTACTTTTTTTTTTATTATTTCATTTAATAATCTCGTCACACTCTCGTGTGGATAAGCACTGCGCCATTTTTATTTTTCCTTCCTGTCAGTAAACGCCACGAAAAAAAAATAGTCTATTGTAGAGGCTTTATGTGAACAAGTATTCAGTGGCATTGTCGTAAACGTAACTGCCTCTTATGCTACAGATTAGAGTTTAACTCTTTACCAGAGGGACACAATATCTGTTATCTTTTCTTCCATATATGCATGAGTAGAGTGGGTAATCGAATAACAAAGTAGGAAAAGAACTTCTTCATTTTACATAAATATATTTTGACAGACATTTACTTTTAGTTTTATTTCTTCGCAGTATTATTATAATTTGGAAGACGTTAAGTATTTACCAACCACCCCATTTATTGAATGCCACCCTGTTTATAAGGTTTTCTGATTTTTTTCCAACTCCACATTTATTACGACCACACCCTTTTATTTGGCACCTGAAGAAATTATTATTTGGGGGGGGGGAGTCAGTCTTTTATATGGGAAAGGTAGGGAGAGAGAAATATAGCAAACGCCAGTTAACAGTTTTATATTAAAAAAAAAAAGAAAAGAAAAAAACGTTAACGATACAGGAATGCTCAGCTTCAAATTTAAATTTTGACGTCCAGTATGTAAATGTTTAAATTAGCCAGACCCGTCACCGGGTTTTTAAAGTTGTCATCCCAGAAAATCATTTGCTCTCCCTGTGAAACTGATGTGAACTAATTTTACTGGACAAATTCTTACTCCCGCCCCACCTACTTAATGACCACACTCCCAACCCCCAAAACACCCGACAAGCCTAAACTTAACCGATTTCATTAAGCTTTTTATTGCTATTGTTTTTAACTATTACTTTCATTGCTATGAATTTTTAATAAAAACATCGTGAAGCATAGTTAGGTATAAAATGACATCTACATAATATATTCAAAGCTTCATTGCTATTGTCAAACAATTGCAATTGTCAGTGGACGTCAATAGTTGAAGCCATGACACTGTGAAAAAAGTGTCATGACGCATCTTAGCTAAAATGATAGACAGTTGAAATATAATGATTTCAACCTACTGTTGTTGAAGATGAAACTACAACAACAGTAGGTAACTCCAAAATTTTACTAAAAAAGAGAATACCATGATAAAAAAAAAGGCCCAAAACTTGACAAAGACAAAGTTTTATCGTGAAAATATTTATGTTATTATTAAAAAGGAAAGACCAAAGTATTTTGCGATTATTTTATTCAATTTTTAATCCTCTCTACCATGTTCGAAATTTTGGTTAAAAATCTTCTTTTTCTTGAGTCGGCGGGGGTGGAAGGCAAAGATGAGTTAAGGATAGAACATTTTATCGTCATTTTTTAGGTTAAAAATACATTGCTTTGCAAATACTTTCAAAAATCAAATAATTGCCGGATCTTAATGAAATTTTCAGGACTTATTAACAAATGAATGAAATTATTTTTGAAATTTAGTTTTTTAGAAAATCTTGGTAAAAATATATATTTTTTTTTTTACATCTGTTACCCCCACTTAAATTTATGAAATTTCGAGAAATTCAAATTTCAGACCCTCCATGTTTGTATTAATTAAAAGCAGGACTTCTTTGGAGAATTTAAATCATCTGTTTGTATTTGTCAAACAAAAACACCATTTACTGAAAATCTGGTCTGAATCGTAAAATTAAAAATGTAACTATGATATTATTTAATTAGAAAATCTTTTAATTACTTTTATAAATTAGATATATTAAGAACACTATTTCCTTAAGAAAAAAATCAATAAAGAATGAATTTTTACAAGAATCGTTTCAAATTTTTTTAAAATTTTAATTAGATAAATTTATTAAGTTTTAAATCTGTTAAATTCTGTATTAATTTCACTCTTTTAGATGATATTATTACAACTATATTTACTAATCATAACTGGAAAACCTTAATACAAATCATCAGCCACCAATATTTTTAAAAATGTTGAATTTTTCTGTATGTGTATAAACCTGCCGATTTTTTTAAGTAGGTTTGTCCATATACGACATTATCAGAAAATAAAAGTGATGGCTATAGTAAATTTAAATCCAACATTTTTAAAATTCAATAAAACATTAGATTGCAGAAAATATTTTCCTAAATGTTTAAGATTACTGAGCACTTAAAAATTATATAAAAAAGCGCTCACGTCATTTTCTTCAATTATGTTTTACAGATAAAATTTCCGTAGAACATCATTAGACATCAGGCTGTCAACACGTCAATACAGCTACTATCGGGTTAAAAATGCATTTTTGCAATATTTAAAATTTAAAGTAAATAATATTTGTTTCAAATCAGATTAATTATAATTCAAATCAGCGAATATTTCACAAATAAAGTCTCAGAAAAGTATATTTTATTTTTGGAAAATTTTTTAATAAAGAGAATTACATTGCAATGAAAGACGGATAAAAAGGGAGATAATCAGCTATTTTAGCAAAAGGAAAAATCTTTCCAGTCAACTTAGTTTTTGAAATACAGCAAAGTATTTTGCTTTTTGGAAATATTGAATGTAATCTATTTAGCTTGAATTTAAAACTCAAATAAAAGCTTCAAGGAAGATTTTTCATTTTTTTTTAATTCATTTTGAACTTGAGGTATCGTGTTTTTTTTTTGTTTTTTGTTTTTTTTGTGTGTATGTCCCGATACAGCAGTTATTGTTGTCTTCAATAAAACTCAAAATGTCTTGCTTATTGAATTTACTACAGGCAGACGCACAGATAAACGACAGTTGTGTAGTTGTAGATATGGAAATTACTCTCGTGTACATTGCCAGGTTACTTCTAATAATCTGCCAACTCAATGCTGTTTATCCGGAGATGACTGAATACACAGGTTTTTAAACTCTAAATAATAAACACCAGTCGTTAGACTGAAATAGCGAAAATTACATAGAGTAGCTTTGCCTTGGACCACTTGAAAAAATATGACTCGACCAAATGATGTATGTGTGACGTAATAGGTAAAGCGGTAGTGTAACTGTGACAGTTTAGCTCTGACTACGATTAGCACTTTGGTGCTTAGAATCAGAAAGATGGATCACTTCTCTCCAAAGATGACAATTATTTCTGGAAAACAGTAGCAAGGAAATACTATGAAATTGTAAATTCTAGACTGACATCAACTGTACTTGAAAAGTGTAGGCGCCCACAGGTGAGACAAGAACGAGGCCATCGGTGGTTGACAGGGATGATAATACCCTCAACGAAGGAAAACATTGCATCAAATCACATCCCAATTCAATACACTTTATGTTCAAACTATGTCAAAGCGTTTTACGGCGCACGTTGCACCTCATGGGATTTTGTTGTCATAGATAGATAGATAGATAGATAGATAGATAGATAGATAGATAGATAGATCGGAACAGAATGGGATAGATAGATAGATAGATAGATAGATAGATAGATAGATAGATAGATAGTAGATAGATAGATAGATATGAACAGAATGTGATCGATAGATCTGAACACAATAGGATAGATATGAAGAGAATGAGATAGATCTGAACACAATAAGACAGACAGACAGACAAGCAGATAGATAGATAGATAGATAGATAGATAGATAGATAGATAGATAGATATGAACACACGTAACGATTAAAACATTCTTCAAACTCTATGCCGCCGAGTAGCCGCTGTTATTTAAGAGAAGAAAGTAGCTACACGTTCTTACTGATTGATTAGTTTTTACGGCTTATCAACCCTTTGCGGGTTATTTAAACCCAGAATTTTTATTTTTTTTTTTTTAGATTGCAAGAGTTATATTTTGGAGATAATAATGATTTAGTGAAACGAGTCTTACTAATTACCCCATCGGGAGGGGGAGAAAGAGGTGGATTCATAATTTTCCCAAGATTATTGGTGCGTAAGGGAATATAACAGGAATTAGAACTCGGCTCTTTGATTAACAATTCCGAGATATTATCCATTACACCACCCGCACATCCAAG